ACAGTTTTAACATTAATAGAGAAGGAAGCAATAGCGCAGTTTTCAGACGAACGTATAGAATTAAGACAAGCAGCTAAAGAAAGTTTGTTAAAAGTTCAAGAAGAGAATCGGCGTAATTATAATCGTAAATGTAAGAAAGCGACTGTATATAATGAAGGCGATTTAGTGGCGATAAAACGTACGCAATTTGGTGCAGGATTAAAAATACAAAAGAAATTTCTAGGACCGTACAAAATATCTAGATTTAAGGGAAAAAATAGGTATGAGGTGATTCGTGTGGGTGAGAGGGTGAAGGACCAAAAATTACCACAACGGCGGCAGATTATATGAAACCGTTCGAAGAGTTTTCTTCGGGGACCGAAGAAGTAGCAGAATGGCCGAGTGTGGGGTGCGAGAATGTGAGTGAGAACACTGAAGCATGAGTGGGCCAGAGGGTATCGGGTATAATCAAGCCGAAGATAAACAATGTAAAATAAGTAGTTGAATATCGATAGTGAGAGCGTCGCACAAAGAAGTAGATTAAAGAAGGGAAACCAAGAGGCAGTCATCGTTTAGTAGCCGAACAAAGAAGGCGTTTTTTTTTCATCACTCTGTATTTTTACTTCTTTATATTAAATATATTGTATATCCGTGAAGAGAGGTTTTTCTTTCTACAATAAACCTATTATTAACACCGCGGAATTCTTTCCTTTTTACTCGTTAAATATCCTTTAGGAAGACTAACAGGAGAAGGGGAATCCCACATATATGTATATGTATATGTATATATAGTCAACCGTCCTATAACGCGGTACTCTCAGAACGCGGTTTCCATATAACGCGGAGCTGAAAATGCGACAGCCCTATTATATACATATATGTAAGATTCGTGAAAAAAAACTGGACCGCTGGACTGACTGGACCGGGACTCGAACCACGGATCTTTCGCTTTCCGAGCGACTGCTGTTTAACCAATTGAGCTATCCAGGGCCCACCGACCAGTTCCATTCCACGAACGCTTATCAAGTTTGGTATGGAGGCGTTCGTCCCACATATATATATTACAATACTGTAAGTAATATTCTTCATTTGTTCTAATATATGTCGATTTACAAGATGTGAAAAAAGGGCTAAAGGCTAAAGAATTAGAACTCCATTTCATTGATACTGATCATTTAACACTTTGACTGCCACGCCGAAATCATCTGTTTTTCCCAAGACGCCACGGCATTTGTTTAGCGTTTATCTTCTCAATTACCACCGTGGCGCCTTAGTAACGGTTGATAAGGACATATTAAATATCCCTTCATTTATTTTAAAAAGCATTTGCATTTGTTATTTTGTTATAAACGGAATGTCCAGATTTAATAAAGCGTGCAAATGAGAAGCAGTATTTTTCATTCTATATAGAACAATAAGGTATGTGCGCACATATAACATCAATTGTATGATTATAAAGCAGCATTTCCGATTATTTTCTGAGGTATGTTTATAATAGTATTTGTAGATTATCCCTTAAAAATATGGATACAAACAGTGAATATATTACGAGCGTATCCGATGAATCTTCATCGGACGACGAAATAATTCATATATCATCCACGATAAGGCGGCGGCGAATTCAATCGGATACCGAAAWTGAAACAGATCTCAAAAATGAAGATGAGTGTAATATAGATGATCACGAATGGTCACGTAATATAACACGAACGGCGGGAAATGTAATTCCATTTGTGAAATCCACAACTGCTCTACATATCGAGGGTAATATGGCACATAACTTTTACTTTGCTTTTGTTACGGAAGAAATTCTAGAATTAAWTGTTGATGAGACCAATAGATACGCTGAACAATATATGCAAAATAGGAGATCCTCCCGTTTAGATAAATGGACACCAACCAATAAGAATGAAATAAAACGCCTTTTTGGGCTCCTGATATGGATGGGCCTGGTGAAATTACCGAAATATGACGCATATTGGTGTACCAGTCAAACCTACTTCCAATCATTTCCGAGAACAGTTATGTCGAGAAATAGSTTCGAGTTGCTGCTACGATTCCTTCATTTTACCGACAATCAAACAGCAAACGTAAAAGATAGGCTGTATAARATAAGACAACTTGTTAACATACTAAATSAAAATTTTTCTAAATACTATGATTTAGATGAAGAGATATGTATCGATGAGTCTTTGGTACCTTTCCGGGGACGTATAAAATTTAGGCAGTTTATAAAACAAAAACGACATAAATACGGCTTTAAAGTCTTCAAAATATGTTCCGGCCGAGGATATATATACCGATTTCAAATATATTTGGGAAAAAACCCAAATGAACCATGCGTAACACCCACAAGTGTTGTTATGAATCTGTGCAACAATATTCTACATAGGGGCCACACGATTTACACGGATAACTGGTACAGTAGTATCAATTTGGCCGAAAAATTACTCGATTGCAATACTCATTTAGTTGGAACCCTAAGGAAAGATAGAAAGGGAATACCTATTGACGTCAAATTTAAAAAATTAAAACGCGGTGAACTTGTCGCAATGCAAAATAAGAAGGGGATTATGATACTCAAATGGAAGAATAGCGTGACATTTTTATGATCTCGACAAAACATTCAGCTGAGATGGTACAGGTCCGCAAAGGAAATTATGTTTCTAAAAAACCAGTAGTAGTTGTAGATTATAACAAAGGAAAAGGTATTGTAGATTTATCAGATCAGATGAGTGCATATTCCACACCCCACAGACGAACCCTCAAATGGTATTTAAAATTAGCTTTGGACTTATTATTGAATTCTGCAGTCACAAACGCGATGATACTGTATCAACAAGCAACGAACACAAAAATCAAGGTAACAGAATTTAGAATGGCACTCGCAATGCATCTTACACAGGGTCATTCCCCAGTACTGTCAAATACACCTGTTCGACGAAGATTGCGGCATGAATTGCGAAAAAAAGAAGGGCGAGCGTACCTGGAACGAAAATTTTGTAAAGAATGTTACAAAAAAAATTYCAACATGTTTGGATCAAAAATTGCTAAAAATAAGACCAAGAAGGTGACCACTTATTGTCCGGATTGTATTGGTGCGCCACATTTATGTTCAAAGTGCTTTAACAAAGTGCACCGTTAGGTGCAAGATTTATTCTAACATTTTTTTTATTGATGTTCTAATAAAAAATTATAATTGTTCAATACGGCACTTTTTATTTCAAAGTATCTTTTATATATCGGTCATATTCAAATACACTAACTCTCGATTTTCATTTAGTTTTTTACAATTGTAAAAAAGTTGAAAAGCACCGGTCACCAATGACCACCGTGGCGTCACGGGACAAACCGTTGCCGGTCATATATGACCAACATGGCAGTCAAAGGGTTAACGGTGCGTAGCGCAAAGTTTATAAGAGAGTTAAGAAATTGCTTAGCTCCCTATAGAGAAGTTTTAGTGGAGTTAGAAAAAAAAGCTACAATCGAAAACCAATGTGAAGATGAGCCAAGTGAGGAAGACATTTTGCCTATTAAAAGAAGACGAGTTAGGCGACTCATATTATCTGACAGCGAGGATGAGTGTTGAAAGATTAAATTTTACAAAAGTCTTTCTTGTTTTTGTTGGAAAACAGTTTTTTAGTTTAGTTTTGGTATCATTTCTTTATATAAACTCTTCAATTTAATAAAAATAATTTATAATTTATCTTTTCCTTATTGGTCTCCATATAACGCGGTACGAATGATGTGATTTGTACTAATTCTGCGTTTCTTATAGCGCGGTTTCCATACAACGCGGTAGACGGTTTCCATGGAACACGCTACGAATTAGCCTGGTTTGTACGATTAAATCCGAGTTTCTTATAGCGCGGTTTCCATATAACGCGGTACGCACACACCGCGTTATAGGAGGGTTGACTATAATATATATATATATATGGGGCTACTTAAAAAATAAAGTTTACGCTGAGCCTCCGACTACAATGGCCATTATAAGGGATCGTATCGTCAATGAATGCAAGGAAATAACAAAAGATACATTAAGAAACGTTAATGAGTCATTAATATCTCAATTCAGAAAGTGTTCTGATGCAAATGGTCGCCATATTGAACCTATTTTGTAAATAGAAAAAAATTAAAACATCTCCTAAAGCAATAATTTTTTTACATAAACAGGTTAAAATACTTTTTTTGTAAATAATATGAAAGAACATCAGATGATGCAAAGCAAAATATATGATTGCATTTAAAAAAAACATTAATGACCTTCATATGTCCTTTACACGTTCACCTACAAAAAAAAAAGTACCGTCAGTATGAACCCCTTTTAAAGCCATTCAACTCCATGTGAAACATTGTCTGCTACGCGTCATAATAAAAACGTAAATCAAAGTGGTAAAATGTGGTGAGCCACCCTGTATATATTTCTTTGTGCATATTTTAAAGTGAGAACTCTTTCTAAATGGCAGGGCCGATTTTAATGAAATTTTTTGTGTGTCTTCAGGTGGATTCGATAATTGTTTTGATTTACATTTCGGTCCAATTTAAATTGTTTATTTAATTTATTTTTTAATTATAAATTATACGAAAATTTTATAGGTGCAAGTTAGTCGATATTCGAGTTATAGAGAATATTCGAGTCGATAATCCAGGTTATTCGATTCCAGTTTGTCCTGACAGTTGGTGCTGTGATCATATTCAGGAAAATATTTTATAACTTCGTGTTATTATTGTGTTACAGAAAATCGTGTGCTAATTAAAATATTACATTAAGATTTAATTAGTGTTTGAAGAGTTTTGAAGTGTGCATAAAAAACTATACATTTTGCAAATTTAGTGCGGAATTAAAGTAAGTATTTTATATAATTTTCTATCAAATTTACACGTGCGTTGATTAACAACCACCTTAACCTACGAATTTATTTGTGTAGCTAATTGATTTCATAACAAATTTTTTCAATTGTATTTATTTAAAATTATTCCAACTATTAATGAAGTTTTAGTTGTTATGGCTGGTGACTCATGTAAACGTCGAGATATTCGCATACAACGCAGAGATAATTCGATACAAATAACTCAAGACAATTCTTTTTCTTACAATGCACTGCAGTATCCGTTCATATTTTTGGAAGAAGAAGATGGATATCATTTAAATATTAATCAAAGGAATCTAACTACAGGTACAACTTAAAGATTATTTTATAATTTTTTTTTTTTTAAACAATAATTTCTGTTTATCTTATAGATATTTTTATTTGCAGGTGAAAAACTGAATAAGAGAGTTAGTGAAATGAACTTCTACGCATACCGGTTGATGATTCGTGCTAATGAAGATAATAACATTCTCCGATGTTGTCAACAAAATCGAATCAGTACTGTTAAGAATATACATTGTATATTGTACATATCTGGGACCGTGGATATTCCACACACACATGTACGACTCCCCACCTAGTATGTATGAGAGTGTCGTACGAGAGAAAGACGCGCGACGATGTGGTGGCGCTGTAGGAGTTCCGCTATCGTTTGTTACACTCACGCTTCGTTAGTTTTTTATAATAAAAGAGAGTTAGTAAAATCACCGGTACATATAATGGTTAACCTTCATATAAATTCCCTCCTGTTTTCCTTAACAAGTACATTGTGAAAATCGAAAGTAAGTGATTACGATATATAAAATTTAATCAAGCAAAACTTCGTTTGGAAAGTACATTCATTTTTGTACATGTAATGACGTTAGATATTTTAATAACTTTTTATTAACACGTTAAGCGCCACGCCGAATTTGCGTGCCTTTCCGTTCAGGCCACAGTTAGCCGTCAGGCGGGCTCTGCCAGGCCGCTCGCCGATAGGCGAGCCAGAGTATAAACAAATGTCGGGTAACGTAATCCGGCCGGGGCTTGCCTTCGTATGTTTACCTCTCCACTTGTAGATAAGATGCACTCGAGAGCCTGACATTTTCAAATCGCAATAAATACTTTGTATATATACTTTGTTTATATCCGTATAGTCCCTTCTCCGTCGTAGTAGAGAAAAACCCGAAAAGCGAGGCCTAATAACGCCCAAACGCGTAAGAAATCCTCAGTTGCATAGATATCGTAACCCAGTTTAGTTCAGTCTCCAAGTCTTCTCGTACTTCTTCTTGACCAGAAATTCAAAATTTTGTTGCCCTAAAAATCAAGATGTCATCAAGTGATACCTCAAGCGAACAAATTTTAGTGCCTACACTTCGTCATCGCCGTGTATTGCGCTCGTCCGACGATGAAAGTTTATCACAGAATGAGCGTGTGGATACGAATACAACGGGTGATCAAGAATGGTTCGATCCGCAAGGAAATCAACCTAATATAAGAGCTTTTAGGAGTGAATGTGGGGTTGACATATNTAATATCTTCCGTTTTTGGTTTAGTTCGGGAACAAATTGTATCTGATTACTGTGATGAAGTTATATCTTCGTTTGAAAAAGATGTTTTACCTCAGCATTTTGGAATTGATGCTATCAGTAGGAAGACATTACTCACTAATACGTCAAACACTGTTAAAAAATTGTATCAAGTAGAAGATGACCAGTTGATATTCATTTGTGATGGAACATATATTCGTCATGAAAAAAGTGCAAATAACGAATACCAGAGGAAATCATATGCTGGTCAAAAAAAGGTTCCTTTGTGTAAACCATTCACGATATGCACTACGAATGGTTTCGTTATACATATGCTTGGGCCATATAAAGCTAATATGAACGATGCTGAAATTAGGAGAGTGATCTTAAATGACCCCAATGGTCAGACTCAATTGCTGAAAAAAGATGACATTATTGTGGTTGATCGTGGCTTTCGTGATGTGATTGTATACTTAGAAGAATTAGGGTTCAAAGTGCTAATGCCTGCTCTCAAAGGAAAACGCAATCAGTTGACCACAGATGAATCGAATAAATCCCGTTTCGTTACCAAAATTCGTTGGGTTGTTGAAGCAGTACATAGCAATATTAAACAAAAGTTTAAGCTATTAGATCATAAACTGGATAACAAATTGCTTCCAAAAACTAGTGTTTTTTGTCGAATCGCTKGTTTTTTGCACAATGAATTTGGAACAAGACTTGATTCTGATCTTGATCTTACAGAAAAAATAATTGCTGCCATGAATTAAAAAAAAAAGATCAAGAAAATACTTTAGCCTTGGAGATAGAAACTAATCGTTGGGCCAGAAGAAAAGTTCCAACTTCAGAACAATAAACCGACTTTCCAGAATTATCAGAGCAAAAACTCAAAATTCTTTTCACTGGATCATATCAAATGTCTCCAGCTGTATCGCATTTAGCTGAGATGATGAGTAAAAACGGAATAATCACATTCTATTATTTAAAAATTACACCTAATATTATAAAGTTTGAAGTCAGATCTCGACATAATAATTCGAAGACATATCGTTGTTTTATTGAATATCAGCCAGATAAGAACGATATTTCCGGAATAACTCGATATTGTTGTGATTGTGCGAATGGTAGACGCACTGTTGGATGTTGCTCTCACATTGCTGCTATCATATATTATTTATTTTACGCTCGATATTTGGTGAAAATTGTAAGACCTGCTGAGATCCTGAGTCGCCTGTTCATCGATGAAAAAATTAGTGTCGTAGTGAATAAAGACAGTGATGAAGACTAATATAGTTACATCTTTTATTATAATTTTTATTTTTTTTGCATTAGATTTAGAATAATATTTAACCTTGAAAAAATAAAGAGGTACCATCTTTAAGTGTATTTTCAATAATCAATAACCCTTCTAATTACGTTAGACGGAATATATCTTAATTGTTTTATAATAATCTTTATGTTTATTTCTGGCAAAGTGTATTTTGAGTAAAAAAATAATTTTTCACATTCTTTTTTTACTAAAAAAAAATATAAATTAGTTAAAACTTGGGATTTTAGAAAAAAAATGAGTTTTTAATTTTTTTCATATTGTTCCACCACTTCAAAAAATTCAAAAAAATTCCTGAGTGTAGAGGAGTATAAAAGACATTTTCTGAAAAATTTTGGTGACTGACATATTTCAAAAAAGCTATAAAAAAAAAAAATTTAATTTTTTTTCGTCCGTCAAAAATCGGCTTTTCGTTAAAATATTATCATATTTTTTTTCA